AGCTTTGATATTCATTTTGGGGGAGTGGGGAGTGCTGAGAGAAAAGAAAGATTGGGAAATGAGAAGAATGATTATAAATGAAAAATTTTGGAAAAACTGGTTTTCAGATGGCTTCAAACAGCTGTTGAGTGGGACATTCACCAGCCCACATTGCAGCAAAGCACCAGAATTTACTGTTTTTGGCTCCAATCTGGACCACCAACCTGGCCAAACCTTTTTTGGTTCCAATTTTTTTCATTTATAATCATTATTGCCATGTTCCATTCTTTGTTTCTCTCAGCACTCCCACTCCCCCAAAATGAATATCAAAGCTTTTGAAAAAAATCAAGCTTATTTTCTATTTTTCACAAATTTTCAAACTTTATTTTTTGCTTTTATTATTTCATATTCATTTTTTGGGACCTATTATGCACCACCTGACCAAGTCTCATGATTTCAAATTTGTGTTTTGGAGCTCTGGAATCCAAAATAACACAAATCAACCATTATGGCTCAAGACCTGGATTCTATCGTCAATTTCACCCTTGGTCGCCACTGAAGGCGTCACTGGAGCTCAACTGGATTGGAAGCTACACCCTCTGGACCATCACAACACTCAATTACACAACTCACCACCATGGCAACATTTCAACACTCAACAACACCAACAAATTACATAACTCACACTATACATATGCACATTTCCGGACAACTACATACACTCTCACACCATTATAGTACATGCATACACACCACTCCACTATCTTCTGACAGTTGACACATGCAGTGTTGGTCTGGTACCACTCTGGATTTACAAGTGACATCATGCGGGTTGTCATGTCATTTTTTAATCTTCCTTGCAGCTGTCAGACTATCTCACACCACTCATTTAATATTCATCACCTCACCTTAGCTTGCAGACTAGTACATCACCTCATGTAAAATGCTACACCAGCATAAAACCCTCATGTAGACTTCTAGTTCAAGCTAAAATAACTCTTACAACATCATCTCTGGCCAGCTAAAATCTCTCATTCTCTTATTCCCCTGAAGCTAAAATCCCTCACCTTTGTTTATTTAAGAGGCTCTCCTCTCAGTTGTTTTCCCCTCAGTTTAGTATCCGCCTATTTCATACCCCCTACCCTACAAACCCTTACATACCATTACATACCATCCCCTCACCATTGAAATATCAGCTAGACTCCCTCTCTCACTCTCAAATCAAACCTTTAGATGCTTATAAAACCAGGTTAAACCCTTTGTCCACCTGTTAAACCACAGTTATCTTTTGATACACTCCACTATCACTTTATTAAACCTTCCAATCTGAGATTGGTGGGCTTCTCTAGTGTCTAGTGATCCAGGAAAGGAAGAGTTATCCTCATTCATCCCTTTCCACACTCAGCGAAAGGTTTTCACAAACACTTTTGAGCTTTACACCGGATCTCAAGAATGAAGTAGAGGAAATTATGGGACATGAAACTGCTGACTGAGAGCTTTTGAAGAAACAGTCACTCAACAGGGTTGGTACCTCTGTTCCTTTGGCCAAATAATCCAAGAAAATCTCAAGAAACTGGTCAACCAGGATATCCAGTCTGGAGAAATTCAAATTTTTCAGGTCCAAATGTGAAGTCATTATCAACTACCTCTTCACCATGGACCACATCTCTCATTTGGAGGAGAGCAGTCTAGAGAATACTTGTTGGACTCACTCAGCCCTGATTTGGAAGCTTCAGTCACCAAGGAACACCTCCCAGAAATCCCAGACCTTCTGTTCCTCGTGCAAACAAATCAATGGATCAGAAATTGGATGAGCTCACTCAACGGTGGGCCTCTACACTAACTGCTACCACTAACTGTAGCAGTTAGTGTAGCGTAACGCAGCGGAATTCCTGTTAGCGTTAAGCGTAGCGTAGCGAATTCCGCCACAACACCGCTAATGCTACGCATGTGGGCCACAACAAAGGGCCCACTACGCTGCGCTACAGCGGTTTTTAGCGGTTTTTAGCCGCTTTTTCCGCTAAAAGTGCTGTAGCGCAGCGTAGCGTAGCGAAAATGCACTACAAAATTTTGGCGCAAAAAAAGTGCCGCTATGCTACGCTTTTTGGGCCAAAAGCGTAGCGGCCCACCGCTGGCTCACTAGGCAAATGGCAGCTTCCATTTCTGTAAAAATGACCCCTCCTCACCTTACTGGAATCTCTTCTCAGCAGAACATTCCAGCTCCTAGGAATCCAGACTTTCAGTGTTACTATTGTTTCCATCAGATTCAACCACCTATGAAGCATACTTGGCGCTTGGTCAGGTCCAATCGGACCTGACCGAGCGCCAGGAGTCAGGACCCCCCACTACTGCACCAGCCCAACGGGCAGCCCGAGTAGACCCAACCTTTAATCGGGTCATCTCGGGCCAGGCCTAAGTAAAAAATTCCATGAAAAGCTTGGCCCGAACAAGGTTGGGTTTGGGCGGCCCGTTGGACACCTGGCCCAATTACCATCCTTACCTATTATGCACCACCTGACCAAGTCTGATGACTTCAAGTTTGTGTTTTGGTGCTCTGGAATCCAAAATAAGCAGTCACTTTTCACTGTCTACCCACTGGACATGCTGTACATACATCCAGCTCAATGTGTGTTACACCAAAAGTCCCCAGTAATGACAGGCCAACATGTGCATATTAGGCACAAGTCCCTCCTTTGGAGGCTTGCACTTGATGCCAGTCAAGGCCACCAGGCCCTCTGAAGTGAGGGACTTGCAACAAGTTTGCCAAAACTGGTCAATTGTACCCAAAAAATGCAGGGCAAGATCAGGAGATTCATGGCTGATATATATTAAAAGCAATGAACCACACAGGAGTTCTTTGCTTCATTCTGTCCTCAGCACCCCTCAACTATGGCCAAGTCTAGACAACATGGGTCATCAAATAAAAACAAGAATGGCAAATATTGGATCATACAATGCTTACTCAAACAGTCAGATCGCCACTATAAACTGCCCAAACAAAGAATCCAATTGAATAAGGTGAAAATATAAAGCTTCTGAACCGAGTGACTCGAGTAGCAGCCTTTAGAGACAATGGTTTCTTTTTTGACCGGGTATGAAACGAGTGAAAAAGATGCTCAGATGCATCAAGCTTCATTCCATTGGTACTATTAGAGTCAGTGAGTCTAATCTTAGGACGCTTGATAATTGAAATTAGTTCGCTGAAAATTCGGAAACCTTGTGGCCTTTTCTGAAAGTTGTGATTTAAGATTTTTATGATTGATGGTGGCTTGTTGGATTGCATCAATGGTGCACAAACCTTGTGGGATTGGGCTTGCGATGTGGATGATGGCAAAGCGGTGTGATGATTGACTTTTGCTTTTTTGCTCCTCAAGTAATGACCCAATCGAATTCCTTTGAAACCGGTAGAATTGGAATGGTGAGAGTGAGTGTGTGAGGGAGGATGAGCATGCTGAGTTGGATGCGGAGATGATTTGCTTGTAAGCTTGGTTTTGTTTGATCGGATGTTGTTTAGATGGACTGAGGCCCAATCTAGTCGTGCTTGCCATAAAGCCCGACGGAGCGTCTCGAAAGGTTCAGCGATGATACCGTAGGCCCAACCAGCCGTTGCACCACTTAGTACGATCACGCAAGATTGTAGGATCCGTCCCGTCCAGCCTCTCGCGCCCACAAACTCTTGATCATCCTGGGAGCCGGTCCAGACGATGTGAATTGATCGATCAACCGAGTTTGCTAATCTTTTGCCTAAATCGCGTCCGATTTGAAAGATTGTGAAGAAGGTTGCAAATCCTAGCGAATCTTTTACGACACTTAATCCCAACATACCCCATCCTCTACTAGCCCAGAGCTTAAATCGTTCGGAATCTGTCGAGCTTGAGGTAGGATGTGAGTTGAGAGATAATGGAAGCATGACTTGTTTGAGCAATGGGATCCATCCTTTAAAGTGAACTTTCGTCGATGAGGCAGATGATCCGATGCCTGAGTTGGACTGACTGACTTGTAACAGCCTGAGATTATCGAGTGGAGCTGAAATCAAGCTCTGAGCGGCTCCAGCCGCGCTGCCAGCGAGGGCGGGTACCAGGTAAGGATGTAGATGAGGCTCTGATTTCAGCAGTTCATTTTCCGCAGTCGTATAAGTTGTAAATAGAGTCAATCCGATGAGGGTGTTGAAGCAGAATGGTGGTAGGGCGTGATTGAGGATGAATTTCCAGGGACCTTCTTTCTTGATTACCGACTGAACGAATTTGATGGATACTGGCCTACCACGCTCTTCAGCCATAGCTTGTAAAGCCCCATATGTCGAAACTTGCATTAAATAAAAGCAAAAAAAAAATGATCATTCAGTATTCATAAATAACAAGCGATTGAGCAAGCCAGGTGAAAAGAGAAAAGAAAGAAAAAAAAACGGCACACACTTTTGACTGGACGAAAAAAGCGAAGCGGGGGGCGCTTGAAGATGAAAGCCATGGATGAAGCAGCGGATCGGGCGATTGCGGCGGCCGATGACCCCGCGGTAGAATCGATTGATCCAGGATCAAGTGGCAAAGGACCGGCAGGAGGGGGTGGAAGCAGGTGAACGGGTTGATTGAGAAGCTGGCTGGTATTAACCTGGGATTTCTTTGAAGTCAAAGTACTTGTCGGATGTGGAGTAGATGCTTGGGTACCTGTTGGACTAGAAGAATCGACCGGCATGTTGTGTGTAGATAGCTTGGCTTGGGCCAGTTGAGTGAGGCCGGATGGTGGATGTAAAACGAGACGCAAGTTGATGGTGTCCTGCTGATCCGATGACAAAACCCAGAATAAGTATCACATTCTCCAGCTGTAAACCACCAATCGATCTGCAAGAGAAGTTACCCAAGTCAGTGATGGTTCGGATATTCGACTAATTCGTGTTGTACCTTACGTCACCTGAAATTTCGGGTTTAGTCCATCCAACGAAATGTTTAGGTCGACGCTGGGTTGAGGTGGCCGAGCAGTCCTTGAGAACGCATTGCACGGACAATGCCAAGAAAGCTGAAAGCTCGGAGCAGGGCCGCCGGTCAACGCTGCCCATACACCCACTACAGCGGTTCCGGGAAAGCTTGCGCTTTTCACCGAAATAAAAAAAAATTAAAATAAAAAAATAAAATTAAAGCTGCTGCGCAGTGCGCATGCACCGCACTCGATGACTCAAAATCTCAGCAACCTTAGAGAATCACCACTAGGGTTGACGGCGCCATAGGGTGGGGCGCGCCAAAGTGCGCCCGCCCCCCGTGCGCGCACCCGGGGCCCCGGAATTTGAAAAAGTAGGGGTCGGCGCGCACCTGATTTACCACATACTATTTGAGAACAATTCCACCAGGCTCAGGCTGTCATGGACGTATGTACCCATAGACAACCTGGGGAAATTATGAAATCCTATTGATTTCACTTGAATTGAAATGCATTCATCAGGAGTATGGTTAGAGTCTAACCATACTCCTGATGACAACTAGTCTCTGAGTCTGAAGTAGTCGCTGTCCTGGTCAGAACTTCGAGTCAAAAATTTGACAAAATCTCCAACAATGCCACCAGTCAGGAACAACATCAGCACGTCCGACGAATGGTCCACTCCCTCACAAGCCCATGGTGCAAGGTGGAAGGGCTTCCTTATGTCCAAGCTAAGAAACGATGAATCCAGACGACGCCAAGCCAAGTGTACTTACTGCCACAAGGTCTTCAAGCATGCAAAGCCTACCCAGCTCTTCTCGCACATCCAGGATTCTTGCCCGGACATTTCTCCAGATGCCAAATCCGCTTACCTTCGTGATGCTGTTGCAGAGGGTGGTGACAGTGATGGGCAGTTACGTTATCCAGTTATCCATAAATTTCATGTTTAAATGAGTATTTAGAGGTCTATATCTTAGACTTTCAGTATTTAAATGCATCTAGCACTTGAATTTACCCTGATTTAGAAAAAATACTATTCATAATGTGGAAAGCTCAACCCTGGGAAAAATTATGCCTCAAAACAAAACCAAAATTAGTTATCCAGCTCATTAGTTACGGATAACTAGATTTTGGTGCTATAACAAAGGATTACAGATATGTCAGTTGAACAAGGTCAAATTGGAATGCAAACATGATAACATGCACTTTCAAATATTGCACAAGAACTATCTCAACTTTTTTGCACATCTGTAGCATGTGATACAACCATTTATAGAAAAAATTTGATCTGGATAACTGCCCATCGCTGGTGGTGGTGATTGTGATTCAACGAACTTAAGATCCGATGATTGTGATGACACCGACGGTCGAGTTATCTCTGTCTCCATTCCTGATAAAAAATCAAGCCAGCAAATCGATCAGTACTTTCGCCCAATGAGCAATGAAAAAACCCATCACCTTCATGAGATGCTTTTAAAAGCAATGATCAGTTCTAATATCCCCTTGACATTTCTCGAAAATCCTTACTTTCAAGAATATCAGTCTGAACTAGCGCGCTCCATATACAAAATACCCCGACGAGTACAGATGATGGAAAACACTTTGCCAATGATACATGCCAAGCATGAACTGTCTATGCGTGATATCCTGAAGGATCAGACTCAGCTTACGTTATCTTTGAACGGCTGGACGGATAACTCTGGTAACAGCATTTATGTGGTGATGGTCCTTAAAGGTGCTAAACAAAAGTACTTTCTTGACGTACTAGATCTTAACTCCAAGAGACATACTGCCGATAACATTTTCTCAGCCCTCAAGGAATCACTGAAGTCAAAGCAAGTTGGCTTGCATCAAATCTGTGCATTGGTCACAGATTCTCCATCTGTTATGATCAAACTTCGGGTAAGTTATTATTGCTGCTTGAGAAGATTTTTGTGTTTCTAACTTTTTTCTCTTGTATTGCTTACTCCAGAGACTTGTGAATGAAGCAAATCCACATATTCTGAAGATTCACTGCACCTTGCATGTTTTCAACCTCATCGCCAAGCAAACAGCCAGCCATCCATCCATGGATCGTGTAGTCAAGTCAAACAAAACCCTTGTTAACTACTTCACAACTTCGGTATTCTGGCGCGAGCATCTTGCTACATGGCAAAAGGCCAACGAAGTAAAACACGGTCTACAAACTCTGTGTGAAACCCGTTGGTACTCGATGGCTAAGGTCTGCTTGGGAATTCAGTCACACGAACTTGGGTTTCGGAAATGCCTAGAGTTACTTCAAGACCCTTTAGTCGATACCCCTACAATGTCAAATTCAGTCATCGAAATCATCGAGAATCGGGATCACTTCACCGCTAATCAAACTCTAGTCAGCCTCTTAACGCCTGTTGTAGATGCCATCGGGTCCTTGGAACGGGCAGACACCACTCTTTCTGACATCTGGAAAGAGCTTCTGATTGCATACAAGGCCATCAGGGATACGGATGTCTACTCTCGCTTTGAGCCTTTCAAAAGGCACTGTCTTGATACACTTGAATCACAGACAAAAATCTACCACGACGATATCTATGTTGTTGCATTTTTCCTCCACCCTAGCTACCGTCGCATCACAGTCTCAAAGAAACACTCACTTCCGGAAGTCGGGCGGATGCTCCTTCGTCTTGCAAAACATTGGAAGCTAACTAGAGCTGAGGCTTCTTCTCTACAAGATGCAATCAATTGATATTACAACTCACTCTTCCCCTACAACTCAAAGGAAGTCAATCAACCATTAGATTACTGGCTGATGGTTCCTAATACACCCGAGTCAAATGCTTTGAAGAAAGTTGCCATTGGTATACTCGAAATCGTTCCTCATGCTGCCGGTGTTGAGGGCTTATTCTCAACAATGAGTGCAATCAAGACAAAAGCTCGAAATCGAATGTCCCCAAAAACCTTAAAGATGTTAGCTCAACTGAAGCTTCATCTACTAGAAGGTGATCGATTACTAGCACCCCGACGACAAAGAAGACAAAAGAATGCGACTCCCGATTCTGAATATGAAAACATGAGGATCTATGATGCATTTCTCACTCCGACTGAATTGGAAGAATTCGAAACTGGTGTTTTCACTGAAGAACAAATGCAAGTCGTTGCTTCCCGGGAGAACGCCTTCATGGACACCCTCTTTGATTTCAACATGTGGGAAAACCCACCTCAACCACCAGATGATGTTATCAATCTCGACGACATCCAAGACAACCCCGCCGATATGAACTGGGACCCAGAGGATCTTTGGGTCTGATCCTTGATCCTATCTGCTTTATCTTTTTGTATACCTCTTTTCCTATGCAATACATAATTGTTGAAAAAAAAATTTTGGACGGCACCCTGCTCGCCGGGGCGCCGCCAGCCAAAGGCGCCATACTTGAGCTACCTGTGAGGCGCCCCTAGGCGCGCACCTTTCCAATAGTTGGCGCCGTCAACCCTACACCACCTTCACTTGAAAGGCGGTCAAACTCAAATAGCAGCCGAACTTGAATAGGCATCGAAACCAAATACCAATCGAACTCTAGCACTGTTGAAATGGAGGAGCAATCGAACTTGTACTAATAGCCGTCGAACTCAAATCGCGATTGGGCTCAAAAGCCGTCGAACTTGAGTAGCGATCGAACTCAAATAGCCATCAAACACAAGTAGCAATCGAACTAGAGTGGCCGTCAAACTCGACTATTGGTTGATATCGAAGAGCTATTGATCTCGAGTAGTGATTGAACTCGAAGAACAAATTTTACGGCTTCAATGTTCCACTCCATCTGTCCAAGGTTTTTTGGCGCTCATGGCACAAAATCGGTTCCAAGTTTCCTTCTTTGAACAAATATCCAATGCAAATAGAAGCACACCAAGGCTGCATTTCTTTACACCAAATCTACCATTGAACGGACCATCCTGGTGACAATGATCATGCTGACAGTCTCCATCCAAACACTGCATGATAATCAAACTGACAGCGTCGGCTACAAGAAGAATAAAAAAGGGGGGAAGGCAAGGTACAGAGAGAGGGCAGGGAAAGAAGACCCTTTGAGAGGCTAGCGGAAGAAAATTACTATTCAAGAGGTTTTTGTTTAATCAGGACCAGTGCATGTACAACTTCAAACAGTATGAGTGTTTATTACTAAGATGTAGTGTTAACAATCCCATGGATCTTGATTGTTTGAGCAAAGAATAGAGTCAAACAAGATAACTACCAAGATGAGTCACAGTTGACCGAGCAAATAGTAAGTCAATGAGATCGGACTCTTGGACGAAGAATTGGTTTTTTGAGGGATTTTTGAAAAGGAACGAGATGGGAGAAGAGGAATGAATTTTGTTTACAAATAAGCCAAACAACCAGGTCAAGTTTCCATGAAGATACTGTTGCTTGATGCTGCTGGAAAAGATTGTGCCGGTGATGAACGGCGCAAACGTCCTGACTAGCTCTGAGCACGACTATAGCTTCAAACCAAGAAGAGGGGGACAATCGATCGGATGAGCATGGCTGGACATCGTGCAAAAGGAGACAAAACCACATCACTTGTGCTAGGCCGTTCAGTGAGCCAAACGTGGAGGTCAATGGTGTGGCAGAATTGACCAATAAAGTGAGACACACTGGTAAAGCAAGGAAAAATAGATTTAGAAGGAGATTGAGTTAAGCCAGTATGATCCAATAAAGCGAAGCACGTTACAAAGGGGAAAAAAACATACCAATCAACATTTTGCCGGAGCTTTTGATTGCCAAGACGAAGATGAGCCCAACGACAGCAACAGTTTGACTGCTACTCAAACTTGACGACTATTGGAGTTCGACCACCATTTGAGATCGCTTGAAGGTTGCAACCATTGGTGAGTCATTGAGTGTGATCATGCGCACTGCGCAGCAAATTAAATTTTCATTTCTGAGTTTTTTTTTTTTTCGGTGAAAAGCTGCAAGCTTTGATGGAACTGCTGTACACCACAGGTTGAGTTTTGGAAATGGCACTCCGTCGGCTTGACCCCGCGGTCAAGCACTGGTTGGGCTTAACCCCTTTTACGCAATCCTGCCGGATTGGTCTGGCCAACGTCAATTTTAGGTAGGAAAGATGTAATTCCAACGTTGGCTTGACCTCAGGGTCAAAAAGTCCCACCGTCGGCTTGACCCCATGTTCTGAAAATGAAGAAGAAAAACTTTTTTTTTGACATTTTTTTCTCCACCCTTTTCATGTCCAAAAGATTGTGGCCACCTCGAGAAAAAAAAAAAAAAAAGGTGATTTGAAAGTTTATATCTATCTATATTCAAAACCAGGCCTGACTGGTATGAAATCATGATTTCCATAGTTGGTTAGCCCCTCCTATCATGTCATGATCATGCCATGAGTTGAAAATGGTGTACTGAGTACAGGTACCTAGGGAGTTCAAGCCCCAAGATAAATTTTTTTTCTGCACTGCAGCCAGCTGCTGTGCAGCAACTGTCATGATGACATAATGCTGTCAAGCTGCCGCAAGCTTGCCTTGCAACCGCTGGCAAGCCGACGTTGAACGGTCAAGCCGACTGCGGGGGATTACGCCCCCCGCTATGAAGCACCCCAAAATATTGGTCGGGGCGGCATGGGTCAAGCTGACGGAAGCGCTTCCGTCAAGCACTCGTCCACCAGAGCCCGTGGTGTAGCCGGGTAGTGAGAGAACACGGCGCACGGGTGGTCCGGGTGTGGAGTCCAGATTTCGGGAGACAATCATAAGCCCCCCGGGAGCTTCAAATATTTATGGCGAACGATGTGTGTGGTTATATGATTGTTAAAATAAGACAAATCACATCACACTTCCCGAAGAACACATGTCACCGTAATCCAAAAAAATTCCGAGGATTTCACTTCGATCACTCCTGTAGTATAGGCTTTTCCCAGCTGGTGATTGCAAAACAAAAGCAAAATGTCCGCCTTCCTGATCAGTATGTTACACCGGTTGCTTACTACGATGTAAGTCGGATGCACAAACAATTCTGTGCTAGGCGGTGGCCACATGCCGAGGTTGGAATTCATGAGCTTCTTAAGACAATTAAATTGATTCTCCTTGGCAGGAATCTCTAGGAATCTGAGGTGCCAATTGTAGCCTGCAAAATGAAACGCGGGATCGCGGCGCAAAATTTAACAATCGAAGAGGGTGATGAGCTTGGCAACAAAGACCGATCAGAGAAGTGAACAGTACGGCATTTCTTAGGAACTGATAGGGCCGTCAAAATGAAGTGGGCCCGGTTGAGGCGCATTGGTGTGAAACCTTGCCCTACACATTGACCACCGAGAACGGAAGTTCATTAAATTTCCTTGTAAGATTGGATGGGGCATGCTTCAGTGCTGTAGTCTAGTAATCGGAGCGAGACGCTCAATCGCAGTGCGATGAAACTACGTCATCAAGAACTCAAGTAGCGAGCATGTCTGGTGTGATTAGGCTACTCGTCTTGGTAGTTAAAAGGGGACTTGGTCGAGTAAGAAGCTTCCTTCACCACCACAAAATCAAACAAGAAATTTTTCCAAATATATCAACAAATATCTGAAATACAACTTCGTATTTTTGTTATCAAGTGCCTACTGAAAGTAGAGCATCAGAATTACAAAGAGCATTAATATTTCAGCAGCATCAATCACACAAGAATATAAAACTATATATCTGATCATCAAACTACTAGAATATTAAAATGTTCTCTTACCCTTTGACCATCATGCTGCTGGCAACCCTATTAATTAGTGGTCTTCTATCTGCACAGTCGGGGCCTAGCCAAAGAAACAGGCGCCCCGGCGGTCTCCAACCCAAGAAACCAAAATGTGATCATAGCGGATCTTGTGACCCAGGTAAGACAGATTTTCTTGATGTAGAACGATTTGTTTCCTCACAGGCTGATTTTCCTTTGATTGCTTGCTATCAACTACAGAAAGTCGGACTTTCCCATGTTGCACGTAATGCAAGCGGCAAGATCAAGTTTTTGATCCAATTTGAAAGGAATTTAGAGTACCAAAAACCTACAATCAGTTATCTTAACATTCAAATGTCTACATGTCAAGTAGGCATCTGAAAACTACTGAAGTAGTATTCATGATATGGACATTCATGAAGGTTTAACCACTTGTTTAAACCAATGCAGGCAAAGGTTTTGCAGGTGTGACATGATTGAATCAGTTGAAATTTAGTTTATTAGAACCAGCATGTATTTCTCTTCAAAATACGTATCCTTCAGCTTCTGTTTCTTTGCTACTCTTTCAACATCAGTTTTAAAGTAGTTGCTTCTCCAAGCATGTTTTCTTTTTTACATCAAAGCTTGAACTCATGAACAAAGCAAAAGAATCCTCCTGAAATCACGTGTTGAAAGTTTTGAAGAATGAAACACTTTTTGCATTAGTTGAATTTTCAATTTGAGCTATCAATTTGAGCTGAACTTCATGGGATCAGCCTGTTATGTTAATACTGGAAACTGATAGCAATACATGACTATTTATCATCTTATAAGGAAGAAGGTATTTGTTTCGCCAAATTTCTAATGAGAAGGTTTTCTAAAAATCTCCACAGACCTCAACCTAGGTCCAATAGGCTTTATCAATACTGACATGTAACGATGCAAATGAAGTCATGAGCACGACTCCATCGGGTCATGATGGTGAAAATGCGATGACTCACAACACACTGCCAACAGAACACGCGGCCTCGCCGACAGCAAATTCTTGCCTGTTGTCGAAGAACGTTTAACTTTCAGGAATCATTTTGCGACTACTCCTATAGAAGGTTGTAGTCAGGTCAGAGAGGTATTTGTAAAAACATGCCCGCCTGCCTGATCAGTAAGTTCCGCCGTTTGCGCCTGATGATGCGAACTTTCATTCAGGTGCTATTGAACACAATCGGAGTCGAGTACACACATGAGTCTGTGCTGGGGGGTAGCTTACATTGGCTACCCAAAAATGCTCAATTGAATCTGCTTGGTAGGAATCTAAAGGGCCAAGAAGCCAAAATGAAACGCTCAAGCTCAGTGTAACAGTTCCCAATATTTGAAGAGGCAATGAGCTTGGCACCAATACTAATCACAGAGTGAAGAGTATGACTTGTCTTATGAATTATTGTGTACTACCGATATGATCTAGATATAAAGTGAACCCGGTTGAGGAGCAATAGCGCGAAACTGCCCTCGATGTTGACCCAGTTGCCGAAGCTCCATGGAGGATTTAAGCGAGCGATTGTGCTGCAGTATATTTAGTAATCGAAGCAAGATGCTGGATCTCATGGCAACGTAACGAAGTCATCAAGTTA